AATCGTTCAAAGCGGCAATTAATCATTCAAAGTCCACTTATGTTATTCTGCATGCTTAAAATGCGTTTTTTTCTTTTTTCATTTTATCTTTAAGGTTTTTCCCATTATTTTAATTTTAGTTTTAGTATAACATTATAATACCATTCATATTTTTACTTTATAATTTAAAGAAGAAACCAATCTGATGCATAGTTGACATTTGAGGCTTAATACTATAGAAAAGCACTAAGAGTTTTTCCAGTTAAGAGTGTTTTCAGTTGTTTATTTTCATATAAAAATACGGCACGCAGTTGCATCAAACAATAGTATAAACATCATTCAATGTAAATTGTGATAATCGTAATTAATAATCGCAATTGCAATTTCAAGGGAATAATAGACAATTATGATTTTTGTCATAATCGTGCAGGCCTAATTGTCAGTTTTGTATTTATTTACTTTGGTTAACGCACTTATTTACATGCTTCAGTTCTTTAATTAAATATTACTATATAAATACATTTATTATTATTATTAATCAAGTAAACAGAGAGAATAGACTTCATAACACAAGCAGCAAGGGAAACGAAACGCATTCTATCCACTTGTTCTTTTTGTTTCAATGTAAATCTGGTTTTCTTAGATGGAGTCGACGGTTGTCTTTCTACAAAAGGATAAAGATTGTAAGCGCATTGCTAAACTAAAAACAGAAGCTTTTTGTGAGGCAATCAATGCATTATGCAATAACACACAGCCAGGCTCATCTGTGAATCTGTGCTGCAATTTCAGATTTCATCAGACATCAGTATTTCAACACAGCTCAAAAAGTGCATACGACAATATCATAATAAATAATAAAATATATTTATTTTTTCAAATAGAGTTTCAGTATTTGGCACAAAAGACAGTGTTTGGCACTGATTCAGTGTTACAGGCACTACAGTAGAATAAAGCACTTTGGAAATGATTCTGTAAACGAAACCGAAATATCCACAGAAGATTAAAAACATTCACTCAAAATTCATTTCCTTTGCTTTTGTGAAATGAGAGACTTTAAAGAGATGAGCTGAACGCAATCTACTGGCACTGTACAACCATTTTTTGAGAAATATTACCATCATTTACAGTATAGATGCAATTATATTTCATCTAAACAACATTCCAAATCAAGCCCTGTGTTTAAATGGCAGTAGATCTTCATGAACCAGCGACCGGAAATACAGAAAAACCACAACCAACACCTGGTGAATGTCTAAACAAACGTACAATACAAATCAACCGCTAACCTAAAAATGAATACAATAACAGCTAAATACTTATTTTATTTGTCTCTGACATCTACATGACTACAGATAACATAGTAACACATTTAAAAGTGTTAAATTCTACAAACTTGTTAAAAAGTGACATAGAAGTGAGTGCTGTTCACCATCAGTCCACTAGAGAGGGACAACCAGCACAAATTATTACAGGAACAGATCACTTCTCTCATCATTAACCTTCATGCCATTTCAAGACCATATGATGCTTTTTTTATTTTCATAATTTTTTGAAAAGGTGACAGGTTCTTAATGATATTTTGTGTGTATATATTTAAAATATAAACATTTTAAACAAATATTTTTAAAAAAAAACCTTTTTTAACATGCATATATTTTAAAAAATCAGATTCTCAGTGATTTAATGTGGGGTTTTCATTTAGAAATCAACACAAAACTCATTTTTCTAACAGCTGTGTCAGAATCAGAGAACTGCACTGATGCACGCATGGGTCTAGTTTTAACAACAGATGTGCACTAATAGTGAAACAGTGAGAGGAATCAAGCCCTTGAAACACATCTAATCTGACGCATCAAGGCTTCTGAATGCAGGGTTTGGTGTAAAGTGCTCTCAAAACGTGAAGACTTGAATCTAGGTGGCTTTAGTCCATCCATTCTGAAAAAAAACAACAGTTTAACACAGTGCAGGGTCTCTGATCCTCTTCATCCGCTGAATTAAACCGTAGCGTATACTAGTACTAATGAAAAGGATCAGAGAGCCGAATGGAATGATTCTTACGGCATTAGCAGCCGCACTTGCTCTGCTCGGCGTCACGCGGCTCTGCCAGGTTGCTGGTGCTGTGGCCGTTGGTGCGAACCATCCCGTCGGGGATCCAGGATTTGTCCACACATCTCTCCATGCGCTTCATGATCAGATCCAGCAGAACCTCCACGGCACGGCTCACGTTCTCACCGTTCGCAGCACTCGTCTCGAAGTACGGGACTCTGCAAGAGATTAGAGCACAAACCACAATTCCAATAGACTTTTGGCACTGGCTAAACTATCAATGCAATACTCGAGGCATAAAAATGTTGGGTAAAATAGTCAATTTATCATTAGCCAGCTGATTTTATTGATGCATTTCATTTAGTACTAAGTAAGTATATTACTACACATTTCACGATCTCAGAGGAATTTTTTTTTTAAATGCATGTAAAGGATGCATGTGATAGAAGACAGTAGAACAGCAGAACAGCCTCCGCACTGATAAGCCCTTAAAATGTTGCCTACATAGGCAGCTCACTAGGTTTGAGAAATTAATCAGTCTCATAAACATAAACAAACTTAAATGCACCAGCTTTTACGTTCTTCTCTCATGATCACATGAACACTCAGCATGTCAACTGAAAAACACAGTCTCTTATACAGCAAAACCAAAAAAAAAAAAATTCTAAGCATTTTTTTTTTCATATCCACTCTAAGCTAGCAGTTAAAAATAAAACCAAAAATATTATTTGAAAAAATATTATTATTATTATTAGATGATCAGTTGCTTCGAGTTGCTACTTGAATAAAATTATTTTTAAAATAATATTAAATAACTGGTATTTTAAAAAAAATAATGTTTTATCATGTATAATAATTACCATTATTAATAGTAGTAGTATTAGAAAGTTAAAAAATAAAATGAATGGAAAAATTAGTTATACCTACACTACCACATCGAATGTTTGGAATAAAGAAGTCTCTTCTGCTCACCAAGGCTGCATTTACTTGATCAAAAATACAGTAAAATTGTGAAATATTATTATTATTTAAAATAACTGTTTTCTATGTGAATTTATGTTATAAACTGTAATTTATTTCTGTGATCAAAGCTGAATTTTCAGCATCATTACTCCAGTCTTCAGTGTCACACGATCTTTCAGAAATCATTTGCTGATTTGCTGATAATCATCAATGTATTATCAATGTTTGTACAAAGAAGACACACCTGGATGAGTTTAGATGTGAAGATCAGTCAACAGAATATAAACAATCTGATGACATTCAACAGTTGAGTCACTGCAAACTCACTGAACGCTGAACGGTCGACAAATATTTTACCTGTCGATCTGCTTGATCTCATAAGACCTAACACGACAGAATCACTATTCATATCAGCGGAGCAGAGAATTTTCATGTAATCACACCGAAGTATTCATGAGGCCGAAACCTTCTCAGATGCCTCAAAAGGCTGATTCTGCATTGCAGAGTGCTTGTCTAAACGGAAGATTCACATGAACAGTCAATATTAGTTTTTCGGTATACCGCCATCTTAACGTGTCACATTTAACGAGAGCTGCCCTCATCTTAGGCAAACACGCCACAGACACGGCCCTTAAAACAAACATCCTTCGAGTCGCCCGCACCCTGAGAACACGTGTGAAGGACCTACATCGAGAAGAGACTCCAACATGCCAGTAAATCCCCTCACCTGTGACGTGATTCTAACATTTCTACAACTCTATCACACAAACCGGTGTCTCATGTAAATATACTGATACTAATATATCAGCACGATCTAATTAGTTCAATCATCGTCATGTGATGACATCACAACCAACTTGTCAGCAGCTGAACTTCATAAGGAGCTTCAACAATTGGATGCTTTGAATCGATAGTGAGGTGTTTCTGTCCTGAAGTGCTCTGATTTTTGGGGCAGTCGAGGTCACGTGTGACGTCACGTTCAGAAACAGACACGGATACAGGACGAGTCTCAGGTGAACGCCGTTTCTCACCCGTATTTCTCCGCCAGTTCCCGAGCACTCTCCGCTTTCACCGCGCGCTGGTCCTCGAGGTCTGATTTGTTTCCGCACAAGATGATGTCGGGATTCTCACAGTACGCATGCGTCTGCAGCTGACCTGCCCGAGACATCACAGGAATGAATTATTCGATATTATTATTTTAACAATTATTTATAATAACAACAACAACAACATCAAGCAGCTTAAAGTGGTGTGCCTAACTATTAATAATAATAATAATTATTATTATTATTTATTATTTTGTTGCTGTTAATATTATTTTTAGCTGGGCAATAACTAAACTGCTTGGTAAAAAATGTATTAAATGTATTTATCAATTAAAAAATTATTGTGTTAGATTAGATTAGATTGGCAACTACTCTATGCTGCTAGTTAAAAATAAAAATTTATTTAAAATATTAAATAATTATTGAAAAAATAATTTATGATTATTATTAATATTATTTTTATTTAGTTGTACAACCACTGTAAGCTGCTAGGTAAAATTAAAAATAATAAAATTATATATATTAAATGTCCAGTTTTTTATATTATATTATTTTATTTTATATTTTATATTTTATAATATTATATTAATTTATTTTATATTTTATAATATTTTTTATTTTATTTTATTTTATTTTATTTTTTTATTTTATTTTATTTTATTTTGCAACCTCTAAGCTAAAAATAAGTTGTGGGAGGATAATTTGTGCCAAGAAAAACAAACAAACAATTTATGAAAAAAAGGCAAGAAGCTGCTCATTACATGTGGTAACAGAGCAATTTAAATAATGAATAGCAACTGTATTAAAACAAATCTGTGCATATTTGTGTGTCATATGTTCATTATGGTGAATCTGGACTTACTCATCCAGTTCCGCACGTCAAGGAAGCTCTGCTCATTCGTGAGGTCAAAGAGTAACAGGAAGCCCATGGCGTCCCTGAAGAACGCTGTGGTCAAACTCCGAAATCTGCATTTAGAGGAGAAGACAGAGAAAACTCAGCCAGAACATCAAATGAATCCTCTCAGACTCAGATTAGAATGTTATAAAGCAGTGCTGGTCTGCGTCTGACCTCTCCTGTCCGGCCGTATCCCACAGCTGAATGTGAATCCTCTGTCCTCTCCCGACTGTCCCATCAGGACCGGTGGATTTGTACACCTTAAAGGAGGACAGAAGACATTTCTGAGACGCCTGAAGGACTATATTACTGCATAACAGTGCAACAAATATCCTGCCATTCTCTGCAGGCAGCGTGAGCTTTGCCCGTGCAAAACGTGCCACCACAAAGCTACACTGGTGTTGGTGGAGTGGCTTGGTATGTAGTTCCAGGAAACCTGAATGTACTTTTCACACAGTCAAACACAGCCGTGAAACGCACGCTTGATGACTGAGAGCGGGAAGCGTCTCATTAGTGGCGTGACTCGTGAGTGTGTGGCCCTAAACCATCAGCGTTTGTTTGATGTCTTAAGTGATCAAGTGTTTGTTCTTAAGGAGGGATCCCTGCTCTGTTAAGCCATATGATCCTGCGTTCATCTTTCCCCTAAAACACACACACTACCGTAACTCTACCTGCTGATGCAGATTCTGCAAGCAAATCTTCAGTCAGTTTTTTGTTACCATGGCAACTCTTATTAGTATACAGTATTCAGTGGGGGACAAAGTTCAGATACCCTAACAAAATATTACTCCCGTAAAAGTAAGTTAGTTCATTTTTTTTATCTTTTTTTTTTTTTTTTGGACTTTCAAATGAGACATTTTGACATTTATTCTGTTTGGTCAAATACAGAATTCTGCAGTCAAATATCTATACTTAACTGAACATATAATAAACTGAATATCTATCTATCCATCTATCTATCTATCTATCCATCTGAATATCTATCCATCTATTAATCTATCTGAATATCTATCTATCCATCCATCTGAATATCTATCCATCTATTAATCCATCTATCTGAATATCTATCTATCTGAATATCCATCTATCCATCCATCTGAATATCTATCCATCTATTCATCTATCTATCTGAATATCTATCTATCTGAATATCTATCTATCCATCTGAATATCTATCTATCCATCTGAATATCTATCTGAATATCTATCCATCTATTAATCTATCCATCTATTAATCTATCTATCTGAATATCTATCCATCCATCCATCTATCTGAATATCTATCTATCCATCTATTAATCTATCCATCTGAATATCTATCCATCTATCTATCTGAATATCAATCCATCTGAATATCAATCCATCTATCTATCTATCTGAATATCTATCCATCTATTAATCTATCCATCTGAATATCTATCTATCTGAATATCCATCCATCTATCCATCTAAATAGCTATGCATCAGAATATCTATCTATCGGAGTATCCATCTATCTATCTATCTATCTATCTATCCATCCATCTGAGTATCCATCCATTCATTTATCTATCTATCTATCTGAATATCAATCCATCTGAATATCAATCCATCTATCTATCTATCTATCTATCTGAGATATTGTAAGGTATGTATAATGTGCAATATGTAGACTGTCTCTTGCTGTAGCGTGTTCCCAACAAATTAAGCAGCCTTAGGCATCGAATTGCATTCAGGAAAAGCATAATTACTCTGCGCACGTCTGTTTGCTTTCGCAGGGACGCAGCATTCTGTGTGTTTTTCCTGCATCTAGTATTCATGACCGTGTTCAAACGAACACTTGTATATCTGCCTGCATCTGTGGCTGCGATTTACACATGAATGGCTGCTCTGGTCTTGACCTCTGGGCAAGTTTCCATGCGCAGGTACAAACTAAGCTGAACAGGACCATGGGATTTTACAGTCCGGTAAACCCCGACCGGGACTCCACAACAATAAACCTCCATTACAAATCAAACAGGAAACATCTGAACCAATGAGACTGTGAGAGTGGCGACTCATTTGTATTGCACTATAAATACACCATCATAGTTGAACACTCATTAATAAATCGGTTAAAATGTCAGCATGTAAAAAACAATGCGTGGAAATCTGCTTGTATACTGTACACTGGTGAAGGGAAAACATCAATAAAATTCATGAACTTGTAATAAAAATACTCACCACTCGTTTTTCTCTGAAGTCTATTCCCACTGTGGTGATGAATTTGGAGTTGAATTTGCCGTCTGTGTACTGATATAGGAAGCTGGTCTTTCCCACTCCAGAGTCCCCCAGCGCGAGGAACTTGATGAGATAATCATAGTCCCCATCAGACATACTGAGAGCTGAACGAGGACCTGTGATGAACAAACACATAAAAAAGTCAAAATTGCAAGATATAAACTCAGAATTCAGACTTTTTTTTCTTGCAATTCCAAGTCTACATCTCACAATTCTGATTTTTTTCTCTGAATTCCAAGTTTACATCTCAGAATTCTGATTTTTTTTTTCTCTGAATTCAGAGTTTATATCTCACAATTCTGTTTTTGGCCACAGAACAAAAAATAAAAAGGTAACTGCAACTTTTTATCTGACAATTCTGACTTTTTCTCGCAATTGGGATTATCTATCCATCTATTAATCTATCTATCTGAATATCTATCCATCCATCCATCTATCTGAATATCTATCTATCTATCTATTAATCTATCCATCTGAATATCTATCCATCTATCTATCTGAATATCAATCCATCTGAATATCAATCCATCTATCTATCTATCTGAATATCTATCCATCTATTAATCTATCCATCTGAATATCTATCTATCTGAATATCCATCCATCTATCCATCTAAATAGCTATGCGAATGACTATCTATCTATCGGAGTATCCATCTATCTATCTATCTATCTATCTATCCATCCATCTGAGTATCCATCCATTCATTTATCTATCTATCTATCTGAATATCAATCCATCTGAATATCAATCCATCTATCTATCTATCTATCTATCTGAGATATTGTAAGGTATGTATAATGTGCAATATGTAGACTGTCTCTTGCTGTAGCGTGTTCCCAACAAATTAAGCAGCCTTAGGCATCGAATTGCATTCAGGAAAAGCATAATTACTCTGCGCACGTCTGTTTGCTTTCGCAGGGACGCAGCATTCTGTGTGTTTTTCCTGCATCTAGTATTCATGACCGTGTTCAAACGAACACTTGTATATCTGCCTGCATCTGTGGCTGCGATTTACACATGAATGGCTGCTCTGGTCTTGACCTCTGGGCAAGTTTCCATGCGCAGGTACAAACTAAGCTGAACAGGACCATGGGATTTTACAGTCCGGTAAACCCCGACCGGGACTCCACAACAATAAACCTCCATTACAAATCAAACAGGAAACATCTGAACCAATGAGACTGTGAGAGTGGCGACTCATTTGTATTGCACTATAAATACACCATCATAGTTGAACACTCATTAATAAATCGGTTAAAATGTCAGCATGTAAAAAACAATGCGTGGAAATCTGCTTGTATACTGTACACTGGTGAAGGGAAAACATCAATAAAATTCATGAACTTGTAATAAAAATACTCACCACTCGTTTTTCTCTGAAGTCTATTCCCACTGTGGTGATGAATTTGGAGTTGAATTTGCCGTCTGTGTACTGATATAGGAAGCTGGTCTTTCCCACTCCAGAGTCCCCCAGCGCGAGGAACTTGATGAGATAATCATAGTCCCCATCAGACATACTGAGAGCTGAACGAGGACCTGTGATGAACAAACACATAAAAAAGTCAAAATTGCAAGATATAAACTCAGAATTCAGACTTTTTTTTCTTGCAATTCCAAGTCTACATCTCACAATTCTGATTTTTTTCTCTGAATTCCAAGTTTACATCTCAGAATTCTGATTTTTTTTTTCTCTGAATTCAGAGTTTATATCTCACAATTCTGTTTTTGGCCACAGAACAAAAAATAAAAAGGTAACTGCAACTTTTTATCTGACAATTCTGACTTTTTCTCGCAATTGGGATTTTATATCTGACAATTTGATACAAACTCAGAATTGCAAGAAAAAGTCTGAATTGTCAGATAAAAATATTTAAAACATTTTTTAATCCTGTTTAGGAAACAATTTTCCATACTTTTCATTTAATTTTAAAGTTGTAGTAATTTTGTTGTGTTTTTTCATTTTTATCTGGTTTTTTTTTTATATGTCTTCATAGTTTTTAGTTTTAGCTTATTTACTTTTTGTTATTTTAGTACTTAAACTCAACTAAACAAAAATCAGAAATGTTGTCTTGGCAACTAACTAGTTTTTAATATTCGATTTTATTTAAGCTGATGTTTATTTCATTTCAAGTAATGAAAATATATTTTTTTATAGTTTAAGTTAACATTAATAACCCTGACACAAACATTCCAGAACTCTTACAAACAAAACACTACCAACAACTTGTGAAGTTTCATGAAGTGGACATGAAACTTTCTTTCACAAATTAACTTCCACAGCATGGCAGGATAATCAAGATTCATACTGACTTTAGAAAGACACCCAAAATGAACCCATTAGTTGCAACCAGACCAGCATTTTTCAAGCATTTCGGTTAAAATGAAGAAAGACAGACGTTTTTATTGATGCAACAGTGCTGATTCAGTAACAGGAAACAAAAAGAAGAATTTGAGACTATTGCTAAAGTGTTGCATTTCTATTCCTGAACAGTAAATATTCTTCTGAAACCTCTTTTTTTGTCATTGATCATGAAGTCCATAAATCCTGGAGCCTAAATGAGGAAACAGACTTTGAAAAAGCAGCTTTTCATACTTGAATGCATCCACACAACGGCTTTTATTTCCCCTCACATTTGTCAACTCAAGTTTCGTTTCACTGCGGCTACAATACTGAGACATTCATCAGTTAAAAATTAAGTGTTTCACAACCTATAATATTTAACTCCGAGGTTGCACTCGAGACAATCATTATCTGTCATTTTAGGCTTTGAAATGTTGTCATGCTCTATTTTTATCTGTCAGTAAAGTACTGTAATGCTTGGTACTGAAGCATTTTTATTTTAAGACATTCTGTGACAAGAGCTTAGATCAAGCTCCATGTTTCTTTTTGTTTCTGCTCTCACATTGTGAAGAAGTCAACGTATTGTAATCAGGTCTCTCTATTTAAAAATTACACAAAACCTCACTATAAGCCCTGAAAATTACAGTAAGTTTTTACAGCACATCTCACAAAATCAATGAAAGTTCCTCAATGAAAGGTGAAGTCCCGTGCAAGTTTAAGCAGTATGAGAGCTTCTAAACCTGCTCTATGATTTCATAATGTCTGGATACACATCTTGTCTTGACACGCTCACAGAGTTAGGGAGAGGAAAGTGTCCCTTGACGGCTCAGCTGTAGCTCTGAGTTTCTCAGACCGCATTAAAGCAGATCATATGACTGCAGAAAGAGCGTAAAAACTCAAACAAACGGCCACATTCTTTCACGCGGCAGCGCTAAAAGCCATCCTGACCGTAAGCTGCTTAACGTCTGGGACCGACCCAAGCACCCGGATCGATCCAGAGACTTTTCTTGAGCTCAACTTTAGGAGAGGCGACTCTACAAGTTCAACACAAAACCTGATGCTATTCTCAATCAGTCAGATGGTGGAAAACAGACACATTTTTTAAAAAATTATATATATATATATAAGTTTGGATTTTTAAATGTTTTTGGAAGTCTCTTCTGCTCACCAAGGCTGCATTTATTTGATCAAAAATACAGTAAAAATAGTAATTTCATGAAATATTATTACCATTTAAAAGAACTGTTTTCTATTGTAATATAGTGTGCAATGTAATTTATTGCTGTGATCAAAGTTGAATTTTCAGCATCATTACTCCAGTCTTCAGTGTCACATGATCCTTCAGAAATCATTTTATATATATTATTTATTTATATATACACTAGAAAGAGCACATGCATACCCCAGGCCTGGCAGCTATTTTAATAACAGTTTTACTGCCTTCACAGCTGAACTAGAGTCAACAGAGTTACAAGTATTGCAGTAATACTTGCTTTGGTCTCAGGAACAAGATTACCCAGAATGCATTTCAGTGTTTATCACAGATGAAATCAGTCACTTCATTATGACGTGTCTGGGAGGAAACGTTCAGTGCGTTTATCTAGAAGATTTGCACTCTACTGCTATCTTATATACACCAGAACTTACAGTTGTCATGATATATAACTAAAGGATCCCATCTAGTTAGAAATGCATTTAACAAACAGTAGTAACAGCATTACATGAGCATGTCTAGTGGTCGACCGAAATGTGAATGTTTTTCATTGCTGATGCAGATACTGTTCAAACATTTGGGGTCAGTAAGAACGATGCACTATTGATCGAATGTGACAGTATAAACATTTAGAATATTACAAAAGATTTCCATTTCAAATAAATGCCATTCTTTTGAACTTTCTGTTCATCAAAGAATCCTGAAAAATAAAATGAATCACGGTTTCCACAAAATTATGAAGCAGCGGAACTATTTTCAACATTGATAATAATCAGAAATGTTTCTTGAGCAGCAAATCAGCATATTAGAATGATTTCTGAAGATCATGTGACACTGAAGACTGGAGTAATGATGCTGAAAATACAGCTGCACATCACAGAAATAAATTACATTTTACAATATATTCACAGTGAAAACAGTTATTTTAAATTGTAATAATATTTCACATTTTTACAGTATTTTTGATCAAATAAATGCAGCTCTGGTGAGCAGAAGAGACTTCGTTCAAAAACATAAAAAAATAATTGACCCAAAAGTTTTAAACAGTAAACAATTCAATGATAGCAAATAAGATGGAATTAAAATTGGTGAAGTTACTTATTTAACAGTATTTACTTATTTCACACACACAAAAAAAAAAAGTGTATTATACATTAATATTCATTTACTGGTAGTCTGAAATTACCACTTCTGACAAACAGGCACTTGTAAATTAATGCACAAGCCGAGCATCTCAGATAAATGAGAATGCCAATGGGAAGCTCAGTCCAGGTGTATTAAAACCAATGCCAACCTCAATAATCTTAAAGTGGGGAAATATCAGCCAATGCATTGGTTTATCAGAACCTGTTGGATAATAACACTGTCACTTCTGCATGATTCCAGCGCTCTAAAGTCTACAAAAACAGAATTCATAAAGTTTGATTTTAAGTGCATGCAACAGCTGATCTTCTTAGTTGCACAGTGCTTGTGAACAAGCACAAAATCACACTCTTATGAGGACAAATCTGCTCAACTTTAAGACTGCTATTGTAAAAGGATCATACCAAGATCTGCAACTCCTAAACACAACATCCCCTTTTGCTTTTCTGCTTTTCCATACATATTGAAGTTTATTACAGCGAAAGGAAAATTACATGAAATCAGATGCTCGTAAAGAGAGTTTTTACTTTCTGGAAAGTGCACCGATTTGCAAAAACAACCTCGTCTTTATGTGCTATATAAGCATGAGCACACAAACCCAGTGTTCAGGCTGCATCATCTGACACATCTGTGATGGTCATTTGACACTACATGAACTTCTGAAGACCGGCTGATGCCTTCATTTCAGTTAGACGCATCTAACTTCAACTGGCTTTCACTTGCTTTAACAATCACTAGCCGTGTGCAAGAGCTCAACCAAATGCCTGAGCTTTGAGTTCAGCTTCCTGTCCAACCAAAACAGTCCTGATGAAGACGAGAAGAAACAGACGGAGGCTTTTATCAGACATTCCCAGCAGAGCACCACCCTGGGCGGCACGCTAACGCTAGCGGATTCCCGAGCCGACAAACGCTTCTGTATTTCACATCGACAGTCAAGCTCTGACAAGCTGGGTTTTTTCTCTCGTCCACTTCCCTCTTCTCAAGCTGTATGTGTGAAACACAAAACTGTCATGCAAACCTAAAAACGCCTCATAACCTTTGATCTGATGCGAGAAACATCAAGACGACGTTTTTTTTGGCCTGGTAGACATTAACATGTTAGCTATAACCTTTCAGTTATGCATGAATGATGCATGCAGCAAAATAAATATAATCTTGAGGTAGTTGAATCAGCTCAGAAAGATCATATTTACAGGCTGAAAGCACAGGAACGACACCATAAAGTGCTAATTTTGGAATTAAGGGCGTATCAGTGAGAAAACACAATGGATGCAGTGTCAGTAAATTTTTTAAATTAATTACTTTTTTAAAAATTCATAATAGAACTAGCCTAGTTGCATGCACAACATACAACAGCATTGATCAATTATGATAGAACAAAATGATTCGGTTTACAGCACCTTCATAAACTGAATTTAAAAACACAGCTGATCTTACAATTCTGACTTTTCTTCTGAATTCTGTTTACATCTCACTATTCTTTCTTTTTTTTTTGTTTCTGCCAGGGAATAAAAATAAAAAAGGTAACTGCAACTTTTTATCTCACAATTGAGAGTTTATAGGCCTATCTCATAATTCCAACTTTTCTTCACAGAATTGTGAGTTTTTATTGTAATTTATATCTTGTAATTCTCAGGGGGAAAAAATGTGAGATATAAATTCTGAGAAATAAAGTCCAAATTGCGAGATGTTAACTCACAAGCTCATAATTGTCAGAAGGAAACTCTGAATAGTTAAGATATAAATTTGCAATTTCAAGAAAAAATGTCAAGCTTGTTTCCGACATGGAATAAAATTAATTTAAAAAAAAGGTAACTGTGACTTTGTATCTCAAAATTCAGACTTTTCTTCTGTGGTTGAAAAAGGCTTCCTCACATTTCTACATTTATTTCTTAATATTAATAATGTTTAATTTGAATAAAAATCTGACTTTTGTGAGTTTTTATCTGAATTTGTGAGTTTTTGAGATCTTGCAATTCTGACTCTATACTTTATTTTTATAAGCCTGAGATATAAAGTCACAATTATTGAATAATTTTTTTTACCCATGACAGAAACAAGCTTCCATAGAAAATTCTGTGTCTGAGCAATAGCAATAGTGATGCAAAGTGTACTGATAAGATTTCATCCTGACCACTGGAGATATGTGAAATTAAATCACTGTCCAATGGGCTGAAAACATTCTTCATTAGCTAAATAACAACCCATATCAATTTTGCTATTGGATGGAAAAGCATCAGTGTGATTTTAGCCATAGCGAGCATAAACAGACACACTCCGGTCCCACTGACGGCTTAAATAAAGGCTCTTTTTGGGCTTTCAGAAGGATGTGGACCATAAGATTTAACATCAGGCTCATCTAATAACCATCAGCTGGTGCTCATGTGCTCTTGGCATCCTGTCATGTGACCCCAGATTCCCAGACCCTGCTTAAAACACACACACACACACACACACACACACACTCGAGTCTATGTTCATTTAATTAGCTTTCTCTAGAACAGACAGGCAAAACCAATAAGCCCATTTAAACGATCTGAGCTTTGGAAAGTTCTTCTCAGGACAGATTTCTCTCTAGAGTTATCAATTTTGCTATTGGATGGAAAAGCATCAGTGTGATTTTAGCCATAGCGAGCATAAACAGACACACTCCGGTCCCACTGACGGCTTAAATAAAGGCTCTTTTTGGGCTTTCAGAAGGATGTGGACCATAAGATTTAACATCAGGCTCATCTAATAACCATCAGCTGGTGCTCATGTGCTCTTGGCATCCTGTCATGTGACCCCAGATTCCCAGACCCTGCTTAAAACACACACACTCGAGTCTATGTTCATTTAATTAGCTTTCTCTAGAACTGACAGGCAAAACCAATAAGCCCATTTAAACGATCTGAGCTTTGGAAAGTTCTTCTCAGGACAGATTTCTCTCTAGAGATAGTTAAAGTTATAATTTAACCCAACATTTCTCACTCTCATGTTCCAAATTCCAAACGATTTTCCATGCAACACAAATCTAAATGTTTTGCACAATTTTCTAACTATTCTTTTCCATGCAACGAAAGTAAACGAGGATGCAAAGCTCCCAAAATACAGACTTGTGCACTATATTCCAAGTCTTCTGAAGTTTTATGTTTCCATGTGAAACCGACTGATATTCAAGTCAATATTTTTTTTAAAAAATGTATTAAAAAGCTCTCAAATTTGCAGATATTCAAATATGGCGCATTAAGACAGTGACAGCAAACATTATTAGTTTATGAATGCAACTTTTCCATGCAACACAAATCTAAATGTTTTGCACAATTTTCTAACTATTCTTTTCCATGCAACGAAAGTAAACGAGGATGCAAAGCTCCCAAAATACAGACTTGTGCACTATATTCCAAGTCTTCTGAAGTTTTATGTTTGCATGTGAAACCGACTGATATTCAAGTCAATATTTAAAAAAAACATTTATTAAAAAGCTCTCTCAAATTTGCAGATATTCAAATATGGCGCATTAAGACAGTGACAGCAAACATTATGAGTTTATGAATGCAACTGGTGACAAAACATCATTGTAGTTTGACGTGAAAGACATCTGATAAAGTTACCTTTTAACTGCATGGATAAAAACATGGACATTTTGCAAGAAAGGAAGAAAGAAACGACAGATTTGGGAAGACATGAGATGAGAAATGACAACAAAAGCTCATTTTTTGGGAGGTGAAATGTTCCATGAAGTCTCAAACTTCAGTCAAACTTTAACAAAGAGTGTCAAATTCAGCATATTCAAAGAATAGTGTCACAAACATATGTCTTACAAGCTACTTAAGCAAGAAAGAAATGAAATTTGATCATTCAGAAGGGGAAAAAGATCCCAAAACCAGACATTCCTGACAGGTAACCAGATATGGGAGTGAAGCAGAGTATTTCCCCAGGTGAGGCTGATAAATTCTCAGGTAACTTCTTCCTTTTTGATCAGATTCAGGTCACAATCGTATTGAGATGATTAGATATGATCCAGGATTGCGCCACGTGTGTGTGTGTGTGTGTGTGTACAGATACACAAACCCATGAACAACAGCTGTCTCTCACTAAACACACATTATTAGCATAACAAGTTCTGAGACACAACATACAGTATATACAACATATGTAAGATGTATACGAGCGGAGTGTTACATATTATCCATGAATACGTTATAAAAACGCCAAAATGTAAGGCTTAATTAAATAAACGCGTTGAGAAGATATTATCAGACTGTTAACATCACACTTTCTTGAGTTTAACGCATTAAACAAAACTTTACAATAACATTCGCACTTACCAAAGCAGTGTTCTGAACGTTTGTTGATCTCTTTTGGGTGTTCTTTTCCGAAAATATCAAACCAGCTGAGAACAAGTACAAGTGTGTGTTACTTTTGAAGCGATGGACACTTTGTTTCCTAAAGTTGCTCCCGCACCCACATGAAGCCCCAGTGCGTGTGACGCAACACTTCCCGTGCTTAGCTCATGAATATTAATTAGGCAGCGCTGACGTTGCTTAGAGACCTTCCCGGAGAGACCACCAGTAACGTAATTAATATGATAATGAATCCAGCCTCCACTATGCAAATCATCTGCCTTTCAGCCAATCAGAAAGGATCATCGGTTGAACGTCACGTTGCGTGCTTAATATTCATGAGCTAAGAATTCGCCATAGTAGGACGAGCTCCTTTGCGCCACTTCTTCTGTTCAGAACGCACGAAAAGAAGCTTTAAATTGATTTAACTAGTGGTTTCTGCATCTAAAATAATGTTTTAAATAGGTACAAATTGTGCAACAGGCTCTCGAGCGCTTTCAAAGCTGTAAGTGGGTGTGTACTGACATCTGGTGGTGTAAAATGTCAAAAATACATGATAATTTACATTGTTAAAAACAATCTCTTTGGTTCTTAATATAATGTGTTGCCTGCTTCAGCATTAATGAATGTTTGCACATTATGCAAGAGATAATTAGTGAGTCTCAGCATCATATAAACACTGTTGAGAAAAGCTCATGTTATACCCCTTTATTAATTTTATTTGTATAATTATATTTGAATTTTTTTTGTAATTATTATTTTTAAATTTAATATATTTTTTAACTTAAATTTTTCTTATTGGGAACTTTATTAATTATATTTTTTATTTGTTGATTTTTAAGGATAAACATCTTGCCGATTCTGCAGGGATGCAAGCTCAATTTAATAATTTTTTTATAATTTTCATTTTGTACATTTTTAAAAATGGTATATTTATATATATATATAATAATTAATTTTAATTAAATAATAATTAATTTAATTTTATAATTTAATATATTAAAATTATATTAAAATTTAATTAATTATTTATATATATATAGAATGGTGGAATCTTTTTGTTTATTTGCAGACTTATTGGGAACTTTATTAATTATATTTTTTATTTGTTGATTTTTAAGGATAAACATCTTGCCGATTCTGCAGGGATGCAAGCTCAATTTAATAATTTTTTTATAATTTTCATTTTGTACATTTTTAAAAATGTTATTACCAATACTTATTTTGTTATTTTCTACATTTTTATTTATTTTTCAATGATAAACATCTTGCAGATTCTGAAAGGATGCGAGCTTAATTTAATAACTTTTTTTTTTAAATGTTTTTATTAAGGATCTTTTAGTGACACCATGTCCAAAGTATATGGAAATAACAAGCATTTAACACAGGCACATTCAGACTCTCCCACAGACTCTTGTTTGACATCAGTCTTTGGTCGCAGATGCATCTTGCTGTGCTTGTTGGCTAGTTTCCGCTCTCTGCTCCTCTGGGTCAGGCTTGAGGTCTTGATCTGGTGCAGCTGGAGGTTTTCTGGGTGCCTCAAATACAGGCCTGTATATATACACACCTCCCAGCACTCCAGCCAGAGTAGCAAATGCAATCTGATTAAAGGGAATCCGTCTTCCAAACATGATCTTCTGTTATGAGAAACAAAACATCCCACTGATGAAAAGAAAAAGGACAGAAGAAAAGTTTATGAAACGTAATTGTACTCATGGCATTTTGTATATCATATATTGGTGTTGTATGCCTGCTGTTTACAGTCTTTTGAGTATGCATAAATGAAGTACACTGTAAGTACACTGTACACACTACACAAATACTACCATACGGATGACGAAATTCGATAACATTCAACACATGTATATCTTAATTTTTTGTAATTAACATTTCTACTCACCGAGAGGTTTTCAGTCTTTCATTATAACTGAGAAGTGTGCAGTAGAGTAAAACACATGCGGACAAGGACGAGCGAACGACTACGGCAACTCGCGCATGCCAAATGCGACGAACATTTTCGCATTTAACTTTTTTTTTCAACATATATTTATAAGACGACGTGTCAGAACCCATTTATATAAATCATGAAACACGTTTAAATTAGCTTAAAATTATTAAATGTTTAGCGATAAAAGTCTGTTGTTGTGTCCTCATTACATATTCATGAGGTCATGCGCGACGTCACCACCCAAACACGGAAATAAACCTCGTTTCCACATTTAAGTCACAACAGCTCTCAGTAAATGCGCTTTAAAATGAACACACGCGGCTGGCGTTAAAATGCAGACGTGTGAACCTCATCAGAGGCTCATGTGGAGACATGGAGAAGATTCGAGAGCGATTCAAGCAGAAGAAGTCCTCCTGTGAATCAGCGAGACTGAGGAAGAGGAGCTCCATTCTCTACAGCACAGATGTCAGCAAGCCTCAAACACTCAGTGAGACTTGCTTTACAGCTAAATGTGTTTTCATGACAAGACAACAAGTCATATTTAAACAATACTAACAGAAAATAGAATAAGTCAGGACCTGTAAACGTGAATATTCAGATTTCCTTGAGCACTGAAATTTTCTGTCTTGATATCTTAAGCAATTTTGTGTACATCTTATTTGAAATGATTACATTAATCACGAAACAGAAATAAAATACTGTTCAGACAAGTTCAGGTAACCCAAAATCAAAAGATATGAGACAATGCATTTTATTATTTAGGACTATTAATATTTTTTTTGCTTTGTGACATTATTATTATGACAATTAAGTAGATTTTTCCCCACAAAAATTCTAATTTCCACTTGCTAAAAAATGTAAAATATATATTTAAATTGTGTTTTAGAATAAAATACTGTTCAGACAAGTTCAGGTAACCCAAAATCAAAAGATATGAGACCATGCATTTTATTATTTAGGACTATTAAGATTTTTTTTTGCGTTGTGACATTATTATTATGACAATTAAGTAGATTTTCCCCACAAAAATTCTAATTTCCACTTGCTAAAAAATGTAAAATATATATTTAAATTGTGTTTTATTTCTTAATATAAATTTTAATTGTATTTATCATATAAACTATTACTTTTCAGTTGTAATTTATCAGTCATGGTAGTATGTCTTGCACTGAAGGTATTCATAACATGTATTTATGCACTTATTTTAATCATAAAAACTGTAATATGTAATTTTTTTTCTGCATTTTGTCAATTTTCTAAGTATATTTTCCCCCTAAATTCTCATTGCTGCCTAATAAAAATTAAAAATGTATATTTAAATTGTATTTATCATATATTTATTGTATTTAAACTGTACAGTATTTATCAAAGATGATAGTATAGCTTGCAATTAATTTAATATGCTGTTAATGAGAATTTGAGGAATGTATATATCTAATAAGACTCAAACTTGAACCAAAATGAAAAGTAAAACGGCATTATATAATGATTAATCCGCATTATATTGGCCATCAGCCATTAAAACACACTGAGCACTAATATCCACACATGCTAATATTAGAAATGTGCTCTATGTGAATTCTGCAGAATTCTTTGGCTTCAGCATCACCGTGTTCACGGTCATATTCCGCCTGCTCGGCTGCGTTCTGGTCCAGACCAGCTTCGTCCCGGATGAGTACTGGCAGTCGCTGGAGATTCCCCATCGAATGGTCTTTGGATATCCTTGTTCATGCAGAGCTGTAAAATTAGTTTAGCTTGAATATAATACTCAAATTCGATCCTTAACATATATCTCACTTACGGCTACGAGACGTGGGAATGGAAGGAAGGCATGCGGGGATATTCTTATCCTCTCCTGTTCGCTCTGATGTACAAACTCCTGCATCTGATGAACTATGACACGGTTTATTTATTGGTGAGACTTCAGTGTATTATATGGACGGCGGGTCTGATTGATCTCTAACATGAATACCGGTTCCTGCAGGTGTTTGTGCCGCGTGTTTTCCAGGCGCTGCTGGCTGCATATGCCGACGTGAAGCTGTACAACCTCGTCCTGCGGTGGGAAACTCCAGATGTGGCCAAATGGACAGTAAGATGACAATCTTAAAGGAATGGTACACCCAAAAATGAACAATTGCTTAAAATTTACTGTCCAAGCTGTAGATGAGTTTGTTTCGTCATCAGATTTGGAGAAATGTAGCATTGCATCACTTGCTCTGCAGTGAATGGGTGCCGTCAGAATGAGAGTCCAAACAGCTGATAAAAACATCACAATAATCCACAAGTAATCCACAGCACTCCAGTCCATCAGTTAATGTCTTGTGAAGACAAAAGCTGAAACAAATCCATCATTAAGACGTTTTTAACTTCAAACCATTGCTTCCTGCTAAAACACGAGTCCATAATCCATAATAACGCGTCCTCCAGTGAAAAAATCCATCTTCTGTTTTCCTCTCACATCAAATCAAACCACATATTTGTTTAGAGCTGTTTTGGCTTGTAAACGGTACTTGATCTGTGCAGATTTCTCTCCTGATTCAGACAAGACGACATTTTCACTGTATAAAACATTATTATGGATTGAGGACTCATAATCGGAAATTTTGAAGTTAAAAATGTCTTAATGCTGGATTTGTTTCAGCTTTTGTCTTCTCCAGATGGTAACTGATGGACTGGAGTGCTGTGGATTACTTGTGGATTATTGTGATGTTTTTATCAGCTGTTTGGACTCTCATTCTGACGGCACCCATTCACTGCAGAG